CTTATCTACTGAACACCAGTTTAATTTGCCCTCAAGCTTAGCAAGGGTTAAAGCAGAACCAGGAACCTAGACCTGCCCTTCCCCCATAATTACATCGTCTGCAGTTCATGTGCTGCAGCAAATGACTTCATTGTGCTACCTGTTATTGTTCTAATTACACCGAGAACTTATACAGTATAGAACTGAAATGTCACTATGAATCGGGATCCTTAAATGTACGGTATTCAATTGAAAGTCAAGTCTAAAAATGTATACAGGAAGCACACCACCTTCATTGGGCTGCATTGCTCAACACAGGCTCAGTGCAGTAAAAAGCTGGAGTTAATTGTTTGCAGTAGGGTCAGTTCATCCCAATGCATTTGGTTGATGAGGGCTGGCTGATAATGGAACGTGCTGCATTTAAATCAGTGCAAGATTCTACAACGCATTCTAACACACAGCACAAGGCACATGAAGGAAAGAGGAGTAATGTATTTTGGCTCATGAAATGAGCAATACAATCTGCATATTAATGCAATGTGTTCACAAATGCACATCAATGCAATGCATGCTTTAAAAAAGGATGTTTATGAGTTTACAACTCAAGTGCCTTTATCTTGTGTCAACTGCCACGATTGTGTTGTTGCTGGATTCACACCACGTGTATTGTGTTAAGCACATGTTAACAAAAATTTTTTTATCTTGTTGCACTGTGCAGCAATGCATGATGCACTGCGCTGTGATGCATTTTGTAGCATGTTGCACTATGTTTAAATGCAGTCTGCTACAGTTTCACCCAGCGCACATCAATGCACAGAGTTTTTGTGTGAATTGGTCCAATTGGAAATAATGGATTTCACCTTGTCATTATGTTGGACCTGCTTTGAGCAACTCATCCCAATGCATACCACGGACATGGAGTGAATGGGCCCTTATGATGCAGCAGTTTCTCCATTCCTGCTTGTCAGTAATCTGGTGATCTGATTTCCAAACATACCTGTACAACATATCTTGCTATCGCTAAAGATGCCCATATACCTTGCGATTATCCTTTCGAAAAACGAACGAGATGGGGTTTTCGTACGATAACCGGCCAGTTGATGGGAAGTGAACAATCGCAATTACTGTACAACTGGCCGAATGTCGTCTATCAGGTTAGAAAACTTTTTTGTAATCGTACGAAAATCGATGGATTAGCTGCGTTTTCTTACGAAACAAATCGTAACAGGAACACTGCACATGCACAAACCGACAAAAATCCGTTCTGTCGATCGACGAAGTTCGGTCAGTTTGTATTGATAATGAACGATAATCGAAATCCACATTAGTCTGTGCATGATGGGGTATTCGAGTGGAACAGGGATGACAGGATGAAAGAAATCGAACGATAATTGTAAGGTGTATGGGCACCTTTAGGCTGGATTCACTTCATGTCTGTTGCACTTAGCTCGCGTTGACACATATTGAATCCACTTGAGTTGATGTGTGTTGACATCCTTTTTTTTAATGCATTGTATTGATGTGCATGTTTTTAATGTGTTGCTTTGAAGTGAAATAATGTTTATTTCCTCAATGTGCTCTGCAGGGTGCTGTGATGCATTGCAACGCATTTAAATGTAGCATTTTGAAACAACGCAATGCATTGTTGTGTGCTGAGCCTTTTGAAAACAATGAATTTCAGCTTATTGCATTGGGTCTATAATGAGTAAAGAAACCCAACGCATGGGTGTGAATGGGCCTTCAGAATGCAAATTGTTGACAAAAAATATAAAGAATAAAATCAGTACAGAGGTTTCTCACTGGCGCCAGCCAGATTCTAACCTGGGTATTTTAAATGGAACTAAATAGCAGGGTACAAAATGACACTCTCTTTATAGGACATACATAAGCTGCAGACAATTTGCACCTTCCGAAGTCTACAGCTTCTGATGAGCGGCTGTTCAATTTATTATAAAAACCATCACTTTATTTTTCTTTGTATGGTGAGTGCAATTATTATGGACTCCAGGAACTGGCATTATGAAAAAGGGTTCCCCTGTCTACGTCCTGCAATATATTATGCCAATTTACACGACAGTCACAAGGGGCAAAGTAGGGAAAGTTCCCACTGTTTATTTACTCCTGACAAGGCTCTACTCCGCAATAGGGTTGTGCATGGGCTTAGTGAAAACCAAGCTCTCCCAAGCCTGCTCAATGTCAGTGACACACTCCCAGCCGAATCAGCTGCGGCAGGGCATTCCCTGTCCTGCAGCTAAATGTAACAAGGGGGTGGAGAATGCCCTGGCCACAGCTGATTGGGCCAGGAGCGGGTTGTATCACTGACAATTTTGCAAGGGCTTGGGTGAAACTAAGCCCATTCATATACTTTCTCATTGCTAAGAAAAAGGAATGGGCACACAAAAGTCTGACTTTAAAAAAAAAAAAATATTTTACATGTGTTTAAGCATTAGAACTAAACTATATGGGAGATTTGAATCAGACGCTACACCTCTTCTTCAGCACCCTGATTTCATTGTGCTTCAGATGATAGGATTCTCAGCAAGAAGTTAAATCGCTCAGTAGCACAACATTAAAATTGTCCATGCAGATTATGCCATAGAGGCATGGAGACCGAGGTGAATGTTTTTACAGCAAGGGTCATTTTTCTGACTCTGCATTGACGTTATGTTCTAGGGCCAGTTTGGTAGCATATCTTGTTTAGCACAAATGCTTGGTTAGTAATAGAGTTCGTGTGCTTTATGAAATCTTTCAAGGCATTTACTGCCTACAACAAGCACCTTTGTCTGCACATGTTTTCTGCATGATCTCTGTACTTCCTCTCTACCCCCACTGTCATCTTTTCTTGAAAAAAGCCCGGGGTCCTTTTCTTGTTTTAGAATTCCATTTTTGTATGTACCAAAATTGTCTTCTTTTAAATACAATGCTTGAAATCTACAACTCCTCAGGACTTTAAAGCACTTAACAAGAAAATATATGAGCTCTATTATTTGTAAGGGGTCTAGGATATTCATAAGGACTGTGGAGTCTACTCATCACAGGTAATGTAAATTGTGCCTTGGGTGAAATATTTTTCTGCCTTGGTTTAAGCTTCAGGAATACTTACTGTTTAAGATGTTTTCCTGCTCAATTACAAAGAATTTCTTTGAATAATAGTACTATCTGAAGGCGACCATAGATAGAAAAAAGATGGTGTTCAGATGTGCCTAGACCTAACTTTTTATGACATAGATTTACATGCCAATGTTTGTGTCCCCACCTATTTTAATTACTTGGATTTAAAATACACAATACTTTTAAAGCCATATTATACTCAGAGACACTGCTACCAGACCATTCACTTCAGCAAAAATCTTTCCATAGGATTATATGTGCATTTAACATGTTTTATGTCTGTTATTTACCTGTAAAAGCCTCCCTTGTATTGACACCGAAAAGTCCTGTGACAGCTACTGGGCACCACCATCTTGAATGTGATGTCAGCAGCTGCAGCAGACTCAGAGCTGTTACTCAACCTACACTCTATAGCAGTCTTTCTCAGCAGGATTCCAGAGCTTGCTAGGGGTTCCGTGAGGAGAATGCAGTGGTGGATTGATCTACTGTGTACTCTGACCACCAATGTAAGGGGTTATTTCTACACTGGCCACCAACGTAATTATCCCTGGTGATCTGGTGCGATTAGTAAGGTCTGCAGACCCTACTAATCACTCCGTTTTCGACCCGGAGCTCAGTGAAGAGCTCCGGCCGAAAAGGAAGGGAGATAGACCAGCAGAAGCAGCTGCTGCTCCCACGAGTCAGGTACTAACTCAAGCCTGACTGAATTTCCACTCGCCTGCACTGCATTTCCACTAGCCAAATGCAAGCAGGCGAGTGGAAATTTTGAGCCCTGTTCTACAGCATTGCAAATTCATTCATAAATCCAACTTTTACTACTTTAAGTTAACACTAATACCAATATAAAACATGCCCCCCCCCACACTTACACTTCTTTGTGCATGTGTGATGTGCAAATAATACTACATCACACGTGTACAATAAAAACACATTGCAGTTCGCTATAAAATATTGCCAATACAGTCAAAAACTACTAAAAATATTTTCTATATAAAAAGCATCTGCATTATTCTAAATATGTACACGATTTTAATGATGATGCTTACATTTCCCCCAGAATTATGTGGATCTTCTTGCGCACTAGTATAAAACACTCATATTGCTTTAGCATTCTTTACTGTCTTCTAAATAATGATTGAGATTTTGAGCTGTTTTCACATGTTTGTCGTGTATTTTCCCTGCTGCAGGTATAAAGTTGCAGCTTGGTAAGGTGTATGGGCACCTTAACACTCACCTGATCCTCGGAGCTAGCTTACTCTTAGACCGGTCCCTGGAGCCTCTTCTGCCCCTCCGCTGCAGCAGTCTAAGGATCCTTGAGTCATCACTTTCTATACACAGTGAATAGGATAGTATTACTGCAGCAGAGGTGGAAACAGACTTCAGGGACCAGAGTAGTAGCCAGTCGACTGCAGTTCAGGTGAGTGTAATTTTTTTTAGCATTTAACCCTTGCAGTAGCTTCACTGCAAGGGTTAAAAACAGTTTTGCCCAGAGTTCTGCTTTAAAGAATGCACAAATCCACAAATGAGTGCTTCCAAAATAGGAAGATCAGTGCTGAAAAATAACTAGAGGCACAAAATGGCAGTTGTAATGCTAGAAACCCTATCAAAGTTTCTGTTCTGTCCTCAGTCCACGTAAATAGTTTTACCAGACAAAATGAAAATGTTAGTGGCTTGGCCTAAATTTAACATTTGCCTCCATCAGTACAGCCCCCTATGCATAAAACAGAAAAGGAGGATTTGTTTCCATAACCAAAAGGATATTCAGGAGTTTATGTTGTCTTTGGTTTGGTTATTAAAAAGAGCGCCTCTAGAGTCCTTTTTTTCTAGCAGTTGAACTACTTTATGCCTTTGTTATCTGTTGGTGCCATGCTGCAGCTTGAACATCTTGGTTTTTTTTTCTGTTCTTTTAGGAGGGATTGCAGGTGGTATAGAGATCTGCATCACATTTCCCACAGAGTACGTGAAGACCCAGCTGCAACTAGATGAGAGGGCAAACCCACCAAGATACCGAGGAATAGGTGAGTAACAGCCAGGGGAGGTTTGGTGGTTTTCACTTAGGGTTTTTCAGAGTATTTGTGATGTGATGTTGGAGCGAAAGTGATTTGATTTTGTTTTTTCATTTTTGCCTTTTTCTCTCTTCTCCAGGGGATTGTGTGAAGCAGACCGTGCAGGGCCATGGCGTGAAGGGGCTTTACCGGGGGCTCAGTTCACTGCTGTATGGCTCCATTCCAAAGGCAGCAGTCAGGTAAAATTACAAATTAATTTACCTTTACAGCCTCAGAATTCCACAGAGATTATCTTAAAGTATTAAACAAATTTCATTTTCCTACCTAGCTCTAATATATTTTTTTCTGGCTCCCGATCCTTGCCATCATTTTGTTCTCCTAGTACTTTTTATTATTAAAGTTACAACTTTCCTTAGTCTGTTCCTAAAAACGTTACCTCCTTTCACAGATTTGGCATGTTCGAGTTTCTCAGTAATAAAATGCGGGATGCTGATGGGAAATTGAACAGTAAACGCAGTTTGATATGTGGCCTAGGTGCTGGTGTGGCTGAAGCTGTTTTAGTGGTTTGTCCTATGGAAACTATCAAGGTAAGATTCCATTCCTACAATGACATTAGAGCTGCAGCTAACGATTATTTTCAAAATCGATTAGTTAGCCGATTATTAGGTTCGATTAATCGGTTAATCGGATAAAAAATAAAAAAAAATTTTTTTAAATGGCTCCAGTGATGGGACTACTAGTTTGTATTGAGATTGTAGTCCATCACAGGAGCAAGCTTGGAGCGGTGAAAGTAAAAAGAAAAAAAAAAGTGTGGTGTGCAATATAGTGAAATGAAAAGTGTAAAATTATACAGCAATGAATGCAGAATGGCACCTGCTATAGAGGACTACAAATCCCAGCAATAGTACATTATACAGCACAATGCAGAATACCCCCAGCTATAGAGAAATACAACAAATCCCAGCAATGGTACATTATAGCTGGTGGTATTCTGCATTGCGCTGTATAATGTATTATTGCTGGGTTTTCTAGTCTTCTACACAGTGCAATGCAGAATACCACTAGCTATAGAGGAATACAACAAATCCTAGCAATACATTTATACATACAGTGTATAATGTATTGCTGGGATTTGTATTCCTCTATAGCTGATGGTGCATTGCTCTGTATAATATACAGCGCAATACACCATCAGCTATAGAGGAATACAACAAATCCCAGCAATACATTATAGAGCACCATGTGGGAAAGTGCAGGCTTACCTGAGCAGTCTTCCGGCAACTTTGTTTCTGAGATCAGGCCTTTCTATCGGCGGCTGTCATCCGCCCACACCTGCTCCTCCTTACTTCTTCTCCGCGTCCCTGTGCCGATCGTGGATTTGGGCGGGTGGTGAGCGTGAGGAGGTGAGGCGTGTGGAGCGTGGATGCAGGTGGGCGGGTCTGGCAGCGGCGAGCGTGAGGTGGGGAGGAGGTGCGGCGCGCAGCGTGTGGAGCTGTGAACAGGGCCAACTGATCGGAAG